CTCTAGCCTGACTTAATCTAATCTCAATCAGTAATCTGCCATCCGTATACTCAGAGGGTTGGTGATCATGGACCTACACTCGCGTCTCTCCTGACCTCAGCTTTTAGGTTGATTCATCCTTTAGTCTCTGCCTCCCCTGACTCCAACTCCCCTCCATTTTATTCATAAATATTTCTACCAATATCCCTCATCCCTAATTAGATACAATTTCAGGAAGTTTCAGCCCCACTAAATTCATTACTGGGACATGAAATGACCTAGGGTAGGGCTTATTAACCACTAATCAAGGTATCCCCAACCTAAAATACCTTTAACCTAACCTAACCTAACGTACTCCTTTCTAAGATTATCCAAACTTAATCTAACCCATTGTACTTCTAATCAAATGTAAACAAACAGAATCGAACCCAACAAACTTCTATTCTCAGCTAAACTACCTTAATCTAACTTAAAACACTTGTACCTTATCCTAACTAAATTTGTTATTTTAGTATGAATATTCGAGTGAAATTGCGGTTAGCTCGGCCCTGGGTACTACTAGTTTGTTCAATGTTGTAGATTATGGCGGCATGACCAGCACAAACAAACCATGATCATCTCTGTACCATATTTCTTGATGATACTTCAGGCAGCTTCGTCTTTGATGTGTTAACAAGTCAGTCGAACAAACATGCAGACAGACACAGTCAAACACCCATCTCACACCCTCCCTCTTGCCGGAATGGATAAATAATCATTCACATCTGTAGCAACTCTCTCCTTCGCTCTGCCGTAATTTCAAGATCTTTAGAGTAAAATAATAAAATGTAATTAAAGGAAGCCAGGCTTAGGAATGACACTTATCAACATCAGGTATAAGACTTCAGACTATCACATCTTGACATCAATAACAAGAAAGTTTACCACCTTTAATAGCAAATCAAAATACATTTCCTCAAGGTAGAATCATCGTCACTGAAGATACAGTAAATTTAGTGTGAATGTGACCTTATTTCTCCCTCCAGTTAGCTGACCCAAACAGAGGTAACGTACCGCTGGAACACCCCCCCACCTCTACCACCCTGGGCCATCTCTCTGTTGGGTTGGGGACAGCGAGACTTTCACAAGAAATTGATTTTTGTCGGTGGGATGTGGTGTAGCAGGTGACTGATGGGTTGCAACCATTTAAACAACTCCTAATGACACACACACTTATATACCTCGCCTTTTCTGACACCTGACACCTGGCACCCTCTCTGCTCTCTTTTTTTTTCCTCCGTTTAATTAATTTTCCTTAGTGGTCAGTTCTTCCCTCATTAATTGTCTCCATTTTTGCATCGTCTTCAGGTGACCAGACGCTGACTTTATACAAGTAGTTATATGATTCTCGCATTATTTCTTGAACCAAAGCACAATGGCGTGTGTGTGTGTGTGTGTGTGTGTGTGTGTGTGGATCGTTGTTCGTTATTGCATCTATAAGTATGTAGCCCACAGAAGTTATCATAATACTTTTGTCCGTTCAGTTTATCTTTCCACACAAACCTGCATTACTAACAACTCTAAATCAATGTTCAAAGACAACTAATACCTCCCAGAATGCATGAATACCAGTTTTTGTTGCTGACTACTACATCCTGTCGCGTGTGTGAGAGGTCAGTTGCCTGCTAATATTTTGAGGTTTCATGCAAGAAAAAAAAATGCCTGGCCGTATGTGATAATGACTGTATGAAGATGATGAACACATACGTACTCTAAATATGGTACAGGTGGAGGTTCCATTGACTCAATATTCTTACAGGAATCAAAGTGACATTTAGTATCACTTCATGATCACAGGGGAAACTCGCCTCTAAAAACGGAGAAAACTAGGTAAGTTCTGGTCTGTTTGGCAAGAGGCAGCTAAATCTCAGCTACACCACAGCTATACCCCACTTTCAACCAGAGCTACATCACAGCTAACTATATTTATACCACACAAACACCAGAATTATATTACATTTTCATCCTACCTCGACCATAACCACATTATCACAATATCTTTCCACCACACCACCACGCCAGCAACCACCAGCAGCTATACGTACCACACCTCAAGAGAGTAGAACTGAGAGCAGCAAAAGTTTCCTGGTAGGTGGGTGTGTGTGAGCAACAGGGGGCTCCAGGTGCTTACTTCTTATGCACGGAATGACACCATTTACTGACTCTAGCTGGCCGAGGAGCTCACACTATCTGGGTTCCCTGATTTGTTAATGTTTGTTCGTATTTTGTTATCATTTGTGCTTTTACGGTTTGTTAGAGTTTGTTTATAAAGCCACAAGTCAGCTTGGATGGTGGTGGGAGTTGGGGTGGTGGCCGGGGGGTGGTGGTGGCCGGGGATTGGTGGTGGCCAGGGATTGGTGGTGGCCGGGGTGGTGTGGGGGTGTGTGGCCAGGGGTGTGTGGGTGTTGGTAGGCCAAGGTGGTAGTGGCCAGGTGGTGGTGGCTGGGGGTGGTGGTGGCCGGGGTGGTGATGGTGACCGGTGGTGGTGGCCGGGGTTGGTGGTGGCCGTGGGGTGGTGGTGGCCAGGGTGGTGGTGGTGGTGGCCGGGATGGTGCTAATAGCCAGGGTGGTAGTGGCTAGGGTGGTGGTGGCAAGGGTGGTGATGGTGGCCAGGGTGGTGGCGGTGGCCAAGGTGGTGGTGGCCTGGGTGGTGGCCAGGGTGGTGGCTGGGTGGTGGTGGCTGGTGGTGGTGGCTGGTGGTGGCCGGGGGTGGTGGTGACCGGTGGTGGCCGGGGGTGGTGATGGTGACCGGTGGTGGTGGCCGGTGGTGGCCGTGGGGTGGTGGTGGCAGTAGGGGTGGTGGTGGCCGGGGTGGTGGTGGCCGGGATGGTGCTAATAGCCAGGGTGGTAGTGGCCAGGGGTGGTGGTGGCAAGGTGGTGATGGTGGCCAGGGGTGGTGGCGGTGGCCAAGGTGGTGGTGGCCTGGGTGGTGGCCAGGGTGGTGGTGGCAAGGGTGGTGATGGTGGCTAGGGTGGTAGTGGTGGTGGCCGGAAGGTTGACCGTGGGGTGGCTGGGTCGTGACATAAGCCCTGCACCACACTGGGTCATCCCTGTCACCACCACCGACCCTCCCGGATCTATCTGTCCGGATTCCTGGAGTTTCCTGTACCTTTAAGAAACAGATTTTGCATCACGTTTCAACTGTGTGCATGGGGGGGGGGGACCTCAGTAACTTTAGTCTTGCCTCTTTTTCATATCTAGTTTACAGTATTATCATTACAAACGGAACTTTCTCGTCTATTTACGAGATTTATGCAGGAATACAGGAATACACATACAGTTTATCTTTTTCCTCCTTATTTTTTTCCCCTCTTCCTCCATTCTGGAAAATTGTAAACCTTAGAGACTCCAGTTTACGAGATGATGAAATGGAGAAACTCTAGTGTGAGAGATTATAAAACAGCGAGACTGGTTTAAAGGAAATATTGTGGTGAGAAATTAAGCTTTGAGAGTGAGAGTAAGCTGATAAGTGAGAAGCTTCGATGATAAACCTGAGAGACTGGCTTAAGTCAGCACACCAAGAAAAGATTTAAATAAAGATTGAAAAAAATACCAGAAGAAGATTAAGAATCACCAAATTAAAAATAAGAACGGATATATAAATGGATAATTAGTCTTGACGAAGGGATGAAGAAAGGATATTTGGAGACACAAAAAGACAAAAATATACTTTATTTAGAGCCATAATTATGAAACAGTTTCAAGCAAGAAATTGGGATTTTATGACAAGTGAGAAAAAATGCAGGTAAACTTGAGATGTTATTTAGCTCAGATGTGTAGAGCTAATTGTCTCTATATCAGAACTCTTAAGAACAAATTTCTAACGTTGAAAATACAAGAAACGATTTACGAAATTTTGGGTTAATTTGGTTTATTATCTTCAAGTGCTTAAATTGGTCGGGTAACTTAAGCACAGTTAAACAAGGCTCAGTTTCTACGAGATACAACAGCAATTGAATTTTAATGGATAATCTTTCTCTCTTAGTGATTTTGGAATAACAATGAGGAAAGTTCATTTTATAATTTAGAGAATCATTGAATAGTTTCCTAGTTAATTTATACATTAACTTGAGTAATTGCTTAGAAGATCGCGGTAATGTTTATGTAAAATATCAAGTGAGGCCCACGGTACCCTCAGCGATCCGGACAGTCGATAAAGTAACCTCAGGAGCTGGAAGTGATTCTAAAGCCATAAAGTTAAGGATCTCGGCACTGCTATACGAACCTGTTTTAGCTCGAGGCTCGTGTGCCGTCATCACTCTTACTATCTCGCGTTAATTCCGGCTTACGCAACGGAATTTTCAACTACAAAGCTTAAAAAAAAAGATAATCTTTCCACAGTGTAGGTCATGTAGTTTTAGAATACGTAATATTTAAATCATGGGTAGAAAAAGATGGAATAGGCTGGTTTTAGAGGTGCATGGCTTGACTCCACCACCACTCTTACTGATGCCACAACCAACTTTCTTACGCCCCTCCTGCCCGCCGCGCTGCCACGTCTTCCCGGTTCCTACTGCGGTGGTGCAAGTGCGTGGGTTGAGACTACCACTCTGGCTTTATTTTCATCTATTCCCTATTTTTTGCTTCACTTGACGACGTAGTTTACTTACACAAATATTGGTTCATGCTATTGATTTACTGAAGCATCTGTAATATATATATTCGCATGTTGAGCTTCAACCGTTGACAGGTTTGGGGATATACAGACACCTGCTACACCTGTTTCTCCAAATATGGACGTGAGCAGCTGCCCGGCACTGCAAGTCAGATTCTTACTTGTAGGGAGAGACACAGGCGGGTAAAATCAACGATAAAGGAGAGTATAGTAAGGAGGTAGTGGGGAGCGACCTCGTCCAAGGCTGGGAGTCTGGCAGAAGCGGCGGCGGTCCGTTACTTTACGGTGCTGGGCTGCCACAACGGGTCTCTCCAGCACCAGCCGTTGCCGCGCGCCGGCCAGTCAGTAGGTTAGTGGTGGCGTCCCCCGCCTCAGCCAGTGGGAGGGAGAACTTGCTGCTGCTGCTGCCTCGGCTGCTGTGGGGAGTGTGGGTCCCGCCTGACGCTGGAGGGCCGCAGCAGCGAGGAGGGAGGCGCGCCAGCAAGTGAAACTTGCCGGCCCATCGGCGGACGCGAGGTGGCGGGTTTTCCCTTTTAGTATCGGCCCGTATGTAGGTCAGGTTTAGTTTCGCTTTTACAGTGGTATGCGATGGTCGGGCCCGTGTCTGCTGCGAGCGTGTGTGAGGCGCGCCCCTCCCCGTGACCACCACGGTGCTCTCTGACTTCAGTATCTTCTGGTGCAGTGTGGTGTGTCAACCATAGCAGTGTACAAGTGTATATACAGTGTAACACCCAGTCACTAAATGCAAGCAGTCACTGGCAGTGTTGTGTACTAGCCTAAACAGTGCATACGGATAATTGTGTGACGTGTGATTATTGACAACACAAGTGACTTCTACGTAGAGGACCAACAACAGAGGACAAAACACCAGGTAAGCCCGATTATTGCCCTTGTTAGGATCACTTGCGAGCATTAAAGTCTCCACGCTATGCTGTTAGTGCGCTGACCCGAGTTCCAGGAAATACAACGAGTGGAGTCGCTGCGGGGATCAATGCTGCATACTCGACCACAAGGGTGCAACAGGGATTGCAAGGAACTCTTTGGAGTGAATGTAGAGACTAGTCTATAATATCAGACATTGCAAGGCTGTAGTAGTGCTGCAGCTGGGAGTGTGAGGAGCGTTTAGCGTCCAGCAGCCTGGTGACTGAACCTGTGTCAGTGTGTGTCCAGCAGGAGACTGGCTTGAGTGCCTTGAGTGTTTTTGTAGGAGCTGCATTTACATAATTAAATTGACTCTGGTATATGAAGGTGCACTGAAGGCTTTCCCACGGTAGGTAGTTGTCCTTGAGTGCGACCAAAGAGACACAGCTTGATGGCACTGGTATGTGTACCTCAGTGATGATGCCTGGCACTGGCACGTCTTAAATTTGACTAGATCTTAATATTACAGCCCGTTGTTTAGCTAGGCGTTACCAAAAGTACTTGGCTCCATTTACTAACTAACAGGAAACAGATATTGATACACGAACAGTGTAAGGAAAACATCGGTTGTTTTTTGTATCAGGTGAAGAACAACAACGCTAGGTTATTCTCTGAGGATATTTACGTTTATATAGGTGAGAGAACCATCGGGGAGTGTTGGGGGGGGGGAAGGACGACACAACAGATAGAAGAAGCGGCAGCAGGCGAGGCAAGGGTTGAGAACGAGGAAGTCACGACAGGGAGACGAGATCGCAGCGTGGGAGACTAATGATTACCTGGCACAGGGGCATCAACTTAACAATGCAATCTGTTTATATATACACGTGTTTCCCTTATCTCCTTATTGAATCTCGTCGAGGAGCTGAGGGTAAACACACACTTCTTTTCATAGGATGTTCGGTTTTTAGCTGTAGAATTGATGTGATTTTTTTCATTGTGTTATTTCTGTTACGGTATCTTATATTATGTACAGTGTAGTGAAGAGGATCACATTCCGCTTCACAGTCCTGTAGTGAAGGATGTTAAGTGTTACCAACGCTGAAAGACGACGTTAACACTGAGGAAACCAATATGTCGGTCAGCAGTGTTACCAACACAGAAAGACGATGTTATACCCAAGAAACTAACAGAGCTGTCAGCAGTGTTACTAACACAGAAAAACGATATTAACACTGAAGAAACTAACACGACTGTCGGCAGTGTTACCAATATAGAAACACGATGTTAACACTGAATAAATTAAGATATCTGGCAGCAGTGCTACCAACTATAGAGATGACGTCAATATTGGAGAAAATAATAAGTTCCTTAGCAGTGTTACCAGCCCAAAAAGACGACATTCCTCATAATGGTACTGTCACGTCTGTCAACAGTGTTGCCAGGCAAGGAATAAGGTAATTATCAATGAAGAAACTTAACCACTCTTCAGCAGTGTTACCAACTCGAGGAGATGTGTAGTAGGAGTAGCGAAGAGGGAAGAGATTGCCTTGGTGTTCATCAGTACTACAAAGCTGGTGAGACGTGTGAGGAGTCCACACTAACAATAAATAATGCAACATTTCTCAGTAGAGTTACCAACCTAGAGAGACTCTTTGTGTGATAAATTAAATGTAAAATATAAACATAACTCTCAGTAGTGTCACCAACTCAGGTATACGATGTTAAAAATGAAAAATACAACATATACGTCAGCAGTGTTACCAATTTAGAGAGATATATTTCACAAGAGATGGTAATAACAAAAAAAAATACAGTACAACTCTGATTCACATTTATTAACATATGGATACCACGTTAACAGTGAATGAACGAACATATCCGCCATCCGTGTAAAAGAAAAGTGAGTTTACTGGATTACATATGTTTGTGTTTATCAATTACCTGTTCATTGTTGTTTTCTTCAAATGTATACCTGGAGAAGGTCTTGAATTTGATCTCTCGGTAATAGAACTTATTTAGTGTATTATGTATTATTCTCACAGCTTAATGTAATATGTGTGCTTACCTCTCTATCCTTCTACCTAGCCTCCTTCTACACCCTAGCTCTCTATCCTTCTACCTAGCCTCCTTCTACACCCTAGCCCTCCATTCTTCTACCTAGCCTCCTTCTACACCCTAGCTCTCTATCCTTCTACCTAGCCTTCTCCTACACCCTAGCTCTCCACCCGTCTACTTAGCCTCCTCCTACACCCTAGCTCTTCACCCTTCTACCTAGCCTTCCCTTATACCCTACCCTTCTATCCCTTCCTCTAACCTCCCTCTTACACCCAGGTCTTCTTCTTAACCTACCTCTACACCTTAGCCCTCACACAGCCCTCCCCTACACCCCAGCCCTCTCTCCCTCAAAGACCTACACCATAGTCCTAGCTCAGCACTTAGGCCTACTTAATCTTTGTGTTGTTTTTTGCACTGGCTTTATCATTACTCATCTTTTCCCCTTTTCGTGTGTGTGTGTGTTTATCTTCTTTCTTCCTTCTTTCTTCTCTTTCAAAGGCACAAAAGTAAGGTTACGAAGGAGGTGATACAGGTGGAAATAATGTTTTCAGATATAAAAAACTAACCTAACCTAACTTAACCTAATCTAACCTCATCCCCCAAATAGTGTTAGGATGGTTAATCTTTAGGCGGAATAAGTTGGGGTGGTGATTCTTCAGGTAATCCAACCAGTTTAGTTTAATGTGTGTTTTTTGTTAGGTTAGGTTAGGAGACATGATGTACATAATAATTGATGACATATTTGGTGATGGTGATAATTGGTGATTGAATTGACGTTTACGGTGATTGTGAATGGAATTGGTGGTTTTGATGAATAACATTGATGATGATATTAATTAATGTATAAATTGATGATCATAGTTAATGGCTGCAATGATCATTAATGGTTATTGAAACTAGGATTGATGATACGGATAATTTATGGTGAAAACGATGTTGACGATACATGGTAGAGTGGTAATTGAATTAATGATGATAATAATTGATGGTGGAATTCACAAGTTGATAATTGAGGGTAAGATTGATGATGACAACTGAGGATAAAATTGATGAAGGATGATGATGAAAATGATAAGTGGCAGTTGAACAAATGATGATGATGATGATGATGAGAGAATAATGGGCGTATTAATTGATGGTAGATACTGTTATGACTTTGATGATAATTGACAGTAAAATATAATGATGTTGGCAATAATTGATAATGAATAGAATAATGATGTTAATAGTGATGTAGGTACTAATAGTTGATGTTAATTATAGTATTACCAGAGAGAGAGAGAGAGACAGAGAGAGAGACAGAGAGAGACAGAGAGACAGAGAGAGAGAGAGAGAGAGAGAGAGAGAGAATATATTACTCCTTGTCCATTCAACACAATGAAACAATGGTACATAAAAGAAGATTCTGATGTTAACTTGTTCTCGAAGAATCATGTTAATTTGAAGGTGAATTCTATGTTGGTTGGATGATTCTTGTTCTCAACGTCTTATATTGTGAGAAAGTTGAAGAGCTATTTCAGTAAACTTTCTCTTTCACCTATTGTAGTTTTACTTGAAGTTTTCATTCCCAAGAATTTATTGTGGAATTTTTCTCTCTCTCTCTCTCTCTCTCTCTCTCTCGCATTCCTGACTACTGTATCTTGGTCTCGTTGTCACTCTCTCATTTTTACGTTCTTGTTACTTCGCTTTCACTCTTTCTCTTATTCACCCAGTCGATGAATGAAGTTCTTATAATGTATGACCCTTTTGTGAGTTCTCATTCATTAAGGATCTATTTTGAGATTCGTCTTTTGAGAAAGGAAATTTTTCATTATGTCTCACGAGGTAGAACAGAACACCTTACTCCTAATATAATTCCTGTGTCTCATGAGCTATTATAGAAGACATCATTCATTATACTCGTATCCAATGAGCTAATGCAGAGACTATTACTGTTAATAGCAAATGAGTCTCTGTGTAGTAGCCGCCAAGTTAACGCCAGACTTATCACCATCACCAACACTGGGCGGGATGACCACATAAGCTCCACTATTCTTTGAGGACTCGAGTTAAAAAGTGAGCCTTTTTTTATATCTCACGAGTCATTAAAACAGTCCTTACTCATAGCAAAAGTGAGCAAAAAAATCTTCGTGGAATAACCACCATAAGGACAAAAAGTCTTGTTTTATGGTCCAGGAGTCAGAACAAGGTCCCTTACTTATAACAACAGTAAAGTAAGAACTCCTCGTACCAGCCATAACATATAGAAAAGTAGAATTTTGATGTCATTACAAAAGTTCCAATCCTAAACAAAAACAGGTAAAAAAAAAGCGTGGTTTCTCTGTTAGGTGTAATTTAGCGAAAACAATTAATTTCTTTATCGTAACAAGAGAGCCCGATGACAAGCCCAGAATCAGAGTTTGTTTTGTTCACAGTGAGAAAACAAAGCAATGTTATGATGGACTAACACACTCACCACTTGTGACGCCAATAGGTAATGTGTGTTTGTCGTGTGAGTAACTTATGTGTTTGTTCTAAATAAAGTGGATATTTGTCCACATGTACTGTACATTATATATCGGTGCAGGCACGCACGTACAGGCATACACAGTCAAGCACAACGAAAACACTCACAAAGACAAACATATGCATGCAAGCAGACATCATCCTTACATATATCATTTTATATCACGAGAATGACATGGTATATTTTGACCTGAGTTTTATATACTGGAAAGTTTTGTGAATATTTCTGGTGGGTAAATTACAGCCAGATTATCGGGCTGTACCTGGCGTGGATACTGTTCTCACCATCCAACAATGAAAGGAACAAATGAAATATAACAATAAAGTGTTCTTCTATTACTAAACGCAGCAGTACACTGGCATTTAAGAGCGCGTGAACCATAAGCGGTCAACTGCGTATCTCAGTTTGATCTTTTGGGTCATGGACCGACGAGCTTCGATGACCTGACC